TTCTTGTATGTATGCTTGTATGGTCAAATATTCTTGTATGTTCTTAACTAGGACAAAATATTTCTCTCAAAAAGATGGGACTGTGAAAAAGGAATTGCAAAGCATACACAGCCACCCTAAGTAACAATCCTTCTGAAGGTATAGAATTCCTAATTGAATTCTTAAATAATTTACGTCTGTTTTAGAATGTCTTAAATATTAGTCATGCTAATAGTTTCATTGTTCCTAATGTAGGAGCAAAGAAGAAAAAAGTGTTGGAAAATAGTTATTTATTTAGTGTTTAGGTTTAGGCTTAGCCCATTTGAATTAGGTTTTTGTTTCCTTACTTATTAGGGATTAGGGTTAGTTTATTATAAATAGAGAGCTTTGTTATTCAGAGAGAATATGTTATTCACAATGTAGCATAATAGAGTTTTGTAGCCGTTTCGGCATTTTTGTTTGTTTAATAATATTCTATTTTGTAATCTTGTTCGTTACACACTTTGATATTCAACTTGGTATCAGAGCAGAGTTTGAACCTTTGGGGTTAAATCTGTTATTGGTAACTAGTTTGTTTGTCTAGTCGCGTTCTCTTATTCGCTGTGGTTTGTTCAGTCGTTGTGCCCTATTGTCCCTCTATTTAAAAAATCTGATCGAAGTCTAGATCTCGACTCGCATTCCACTGCTGCTCCAAACCGTGTCACACCTGATCCGTCGCCATCCTTGTTGCACCGCTTCTGTCCAGCATCACTGCAATCAGTTATGCCACCACCGTCCACCACCAACCGTGGCCAAACCCGCCTAAACAATTTGCAGCTGACCCATCTTTGCCAAGCCGTACTAGATCCTCTTGCACCACTTTGATCTGCACCTATTAAACCTGCATCTCGCTCGCCATCGAACGTTGTCCCCACCACCTGCGGTCTGCAACAAAAAGTCTCGCAGTCGCTGTTTGCACTTGTTCACACAGAAAAAGAAAGAAGAAGGAAAAGAAAGAAAAAAAATAGAAAAAGAAAACAGGAAAAGAGGAAAAGAAGAAAAAAGTATGGAGCTCACAATCTGTTGGGCTATTATGATTTGTTTGAAGGCCATTGGTTGGGTCTTGTTGATTGAAGCCTGGATTGTTCGTTCGCTCGCTTGAATCGCTTGTCTTGTCGTGTCCACCTAACGGAGCTTGCCTTGTCGTATCCGCCTAACGGAGCTTGTCTTGTCTTGTCCGCCTAACAAAGCTTGCATTTCCATCTGCTTGTTGGAAAACTCATGACGTGTACCACCGTGAGTTTGACGGGGGTGTTGGAAAATAGTTATTTATTTAGTGTTTAGGTTTGGGCTTAGCCCATTTGAATTAGGTTTTCGTTTCCTTGCTTATTAAGGACTAGGGTTAGTTTATTATAAATAGAGAGCTTTGTTATTCAGAGAGAATATGTTATTCACAATTTAGCCTCTTGGAGTTTTGTAACCGTTTCGGCATTTTTATTTATTTAATAATATTCTATTTTGTAATCTTGTTCGTTACACACTCTGATATTCAACTAAAAGCAAGCAATAATGTAGAGACTGCAAATTCATGACAACAGTAAGAGTCCCGAGATAGAAGATTAAAGAATTACTGTTGAAGATAGTTGATCTTAGTTTTTCATTCCGTTATAAAAAAAATTTGTTTTTATTATTTTGAATTTGAGTTATTTCAAGGATGATGATAATTTAAGGATTTTTATTATTATTTGAATGTTTTTTGGATTCATAAGTTTTAAACGGTAATTTAGATCCTAGTTAAGAGTTAACCAGAAAATAAGAACAGCAGTGTACCCAAGCAAGATAGAACTAAAACGCATGATGAAAAAAAAAAAAAGCTGTTATTCCCACCCCAATGTCTTATCTTCCCACCCACTTTTTAATGACTTTTTTAATTACAAATTTGTCCATTTGTAAAATGACTAATAAGGACTTTAGTTACCCTCTTTTGCATTACTGTTTTGCTTTAGATTATTTGTCTTTCTTAAACCCTAACTCATCATTCTATTTAATCCTAATTATTTAGACACTGATCTGAGTCATAACGCTCCTATCCTATGCCATCAGCGTGTTCATGGGACCTATGGAGATTCCTTCACAATCTCCCGAAACTATTAAGCTTCAAGATGTTTTCTTTAATTTATATCAGGTATATGGAAAAAATTATTATATGATATAAAACTTTTTCCCATTTGAAGCTGTTTCCAATCACCTAGCATAACCCCAAGGGTTATAGGTTGAGATATGGTTTACTTGAGTAAGCTCCTCCATTTTCAAACACGACCAAACATGTACATTAGGCTAAAGATTGGAAGACTCCGGTTTTTTTTTTTGGTGGCTTTTAGAAGAGAATAATATTATTTGTTTATATTCTTTTTTTAAAAGACAAGTTTATAATTATATATATATATATATTAAGGGTTATTTTAGTAATAATAGTGGGTGGGGAAATAACATTTTAATTTTTTAACTTTTTATAGTGGGTGTAAATATAACGTGGGTGGGAAAATAAGACAACGGGGTGGGTTTAGCAGCTCTCAAAAAAAATTTGCAATACCCTTGGCGTATTGTCGAAATTCTCCTATGGAAATTTTGGTATTTATGCTTCCTTGTTTGAGAAGTGCGAGTATTTGATTTCTAATTTTGGATTATAATCCAACTTAATCCGAATTAGATATTTGATTTGTATACCATAGTAGAATAAATCATGTCTCTTGGTGTGTTTGGTAAAAGAAATTTATTCCAAGCACTAAGGAAAGTTTCGAACCTTTCTATAAGTGGTGTTGAAATATTTTTCTTTCTACTTATGGTATATAGTAGCCTTCATTCATGTCAGGCAATAAGCCGAAGATTCATTCAAGTATTGAATTTAATCTTAATTCGATGACTAACTTTATTAATTGATGCGAGATAACTAATGAAGGTTCATATTTGGTCATAGAAATTTATGAATGAATGAATGTGGGTAGAATTAAATATGATTAATTCACTGGCTACATTATGATTCACATAGTGGGAGCGTGCTTACGTTTCAGTAGTGGGACATTGGAAGTTTTAACGAAACACTTTCAGTACTGTTCACTTTAATGAAAAACTACATTTTACTCTAAAAAGTCAATCCTGGTATTATTCACTTACAACACATTTTTGTTATTTTCGTTAAAACTCAAAGTTTTCAAGCCATTTTCATTAGTTTTTTTTAGATTAAATGACTTTTGGTATATGGGTGGTGTGATTGAATCCGTATTGGACGACCTACATATATCCAAACTTGGAGAATCAAATTACAGGTCTAGTTCTAAGAAAAGATGACACAATGTATGTTTACGTCATCTTTGACAAAGGTGCCTTCACTTAGGCACTCTTTGGAGTTGCTTCTCCACGTCTACGTGTAGACTGGTGACATTGAAATTCTTTGTAGTTGAATTTGCGCCTTGACTTAGGGGTTTTGTTCTTTCTAGAGTGGGTTTGGATATGAACTTTTTTATTTTTTTTATTTTTTTACAAACAATAGCTTTAATAGGTTAAATTGTTAGTTGTTTGCGAGAAGGAGAATCGATGGGGATTAAACCTGCACCAAAGTAGATATGTATGATTGTTTTCCGTCGCTGCGTTAAATTGCCATCTACCGATACGGGCTATGCTTTTGGTAATGTGAGTTTTTAGTTGCTTATGTAAATTTTGTCAACTTTAGCTTGCCATTTGGAACTATTGTTCTTGCAGTCATCTTGAAATTGTGTATATCATTGATTTATTTTAGAAAAAAAGCACCAGTCATAAAGAAAAACAGTTAGAAAGAATTTCATCTTGACAAGAAAATGAACTAAAGGAAGTAAGCAACAAAATCTAAATCAATAAATTGAAAAAATAGACAGAAGATGACATTAATAAAATGAGATCGGAAATGCTGTGATCACAGAGCATTTACCAGAAATCCTTGAAAACTGTTGGCACTTCCAATTTCCCAACTCTCTCTCCATTTGAGAGACCCAAAGCGACTAAACTTCCTCTAGTTGGGTTAGTTTGTCATGCAAGCTTGTAATATTTGAAAAGGTTGGGTTTATTTTTAAGAAAAACTAATGAAAAGGGTTTGAAAACTTTGAGTTTTAATGATAAGAACAAAATAAAGGGTAAAGTGAATAGTATCATGATTGACTGTTTAGTGTAAAAATGTGGTTTTTCGTTAAAGTGAACAGTACCGGGAGCTTTTCGTTAAAGTTCCCTTATTTTTACTGGTATGCTACACTTATCATTTATTATACCATCTTTAATAAAATAGAAACTGTCGACACATACAGATCTTATCTCTATTACAAAAACGATATAAATAATAGGGTGAAGTGCCGATTTAGTCCCTGAATTATCACCTTAGTGAAAATTAGGTCCCTAAATTATTTTTTCGGTAAAATAAGTCCCTAAATTCATTAGAAATTGCTAATTTCATCCATACTATTATATTTAAAGCTATTTTATCCAATTTTTTGTCAAATTAAATCACTTGACACACTTTAGAGTGTAATATCATCATTTTCTCGTCTGTAAGTGCCTAACATTTCATATAGGTTGCAAATTTAATGTCTAATTTACCCTCAAAAGTTAACTTACACTATTTCTTTATGAAAAACTACCAACTTCTCTTCCAAAGTTAACTCCATACACTATTTCTTTATGAAAAACTACCAATCTACCTTCCAATGTGTATCATATGCAAGTAACGTGACTTAAATTGATGAAAAATTGAATATACTAGCTTCGAATATAACATTAGGGATGTAATTGGCAGATTTTTATAATTCAGGGACTAATTTTTCTGAAAAAATAGTTTAGGAACCTAATTTTCACTAAGGTGATAATTCAGGGACTAAATTGACAGTTTACCCTAAATAATAATACAATTATGTGGTTACAGTAGCGTTTTACTGTTTTATTCCTTTCTTTTCCCCACTTTTTTTTTATTTTTTTGATAAATGTTACTGATTCAAATAGATAGAGAGAGAGAAAACAGAAAAAGAGCGGGGGAGAGAGAAAGAAAGGGAGGTTCTTGTGAAGGGGGGGGGATCTCATGTGCCCTTTTCGCGTTGAATTCTCACACGTATACACACACTTGGTGAAAGAGAAAAAGCAAAACAAAGAAAGGAGAAGGAGAAGAAGAAGAAGAGAGAGAGAGAGATCGGTTTGTGTCCTTGAATCTTTTGGGTTTGTATGAAAAAAGCTAATTTTGTGGATTGGTATTCTGTGAAAATGCAAATTTGTCCAATTTGAAGGCAGCATCCACACCTGGACCTGACCTCTCCCTGTAAACAACAACCACTTTGATTTCATTTGCTGCTGCTGCCTTTGTCTCTGCCTCTGCCTGTGGTGGGGTCCTTGCTGATAAGCTTGAATTCTCGCAACAAACACAACCCTCCAAAAAGCAAACGCTCTGAAGAAACTGCTTTTGCTGCTGCTGCCTGCTTCTGCTTTTTCTGGGCGTTTTTCTGCTCAAACCCCAACTCCGGCACACATCGAATTCCCTGGATTTTGATTTGTATTTGGCTTTTGGTGTTTTTGCTCCTTTGAATTCCAAGAAATGAGAGCGGGGCTGAGTACGATCCAGCAAACGTTAACCCCAGAGGCGGCAAGCGTCTTGAATCACTCGATTGCCGAAGCGGGTCGACGGAACCACGGCCAGACGACGCCGCTACACGTGGCAGCAACCCTTTTGTCCTCCCCCACCGGCTTCCTCCGCCAAGCATGCATCAAATCTCACCCCAATTCCTCCCACCCTCTGCAGTGCCGAGCTCTGGAGCTCTGCTTCAGTGTGGCTCTGGAGCGGTTGCCCACCGCCCAAAACATGAGTCCCGGCATGGAGCCCCCCATCTCTAATGCTCTCATGGCCGCCTTGAAGCGAGCTCAAGCTCACCAGCGCCGCGGCTGCCCCGAACAGCAGCAGCAACCTCTATTAGCCGTCAAAGTCGAGCTCGAGCAGCTCATCATCTCAATTCTCGATGACCCGAGTGTTAGTCGGGTCATGCGGGAGGCTAGTTTCTCTAGTCCCGCAGTCAAAGCCACCATTGAACAGACGCTCAACTCTTCTGCCGCCGCCGCCGCTCACGCCGCCGTCAATTCATCCCCAATCGGATTGCAATTCCGCCCTGCAGGCCCCATGGTGCCACCCGTGAGCCGGAATTTGTATTTGAATCCGAGGCTGCAGCAGCCGCAGGGAGCTGCAACACAATCGGTACAACATAGAGGGGAAGAGGTTAAGAGGGTTGCTGATATTTTGTTGAGAACGAAGAAGAGGAACCCAGTTTTGGTTGGCGATTCGGAGCCTGAGGCCGTGACCAAAGAGCTCTTGCGGAGGATTCAGAGCAAGGAGTTGGGTGAGGGGCCGCTGAAGAATGTTGATGTCCTTCATTTGGAGGAGGTTGTTTCTTTGGATAGGAATCAGATAGTGTCAAAAATGAAGGAATTAGGGGGTTTGATTGAGACCCGGTTGTTGAATTTGACCGGGGGAGGGGTCATTCTTGATTTGGGTGACTTGAAATGGCTTGTGGAGCAGCCTGCGAGCTTTGGAGGAGTTCCGGGTCTAGTTTCGTCTCCCGTCCAACAGCAGGTGGTTTCGGAGGCAGGGCGGGCAGCAGTGGGGGAAATGGGGAAGCTATTGGCGAGGTATGGAGAGGGTAGTGCAACTGGTGGCCGGCTTTGGTTAATTGGGACTGCTACTTGTGAGACCTATTTGAGGTGCCAAGTCTATCACCCTTCAATGGAAACTGATTGGGATCTACAGGCAGTGCCAATTGCTGGCAGAACGCCACTTTCAGGATTGTTTCCGAGGTATGCTTGCTGTTCTTATTTGAATTACAAACTAAACTCTGTAACCATGCAACTTGTCTCTGCACTTTTGTATTGTCTGGTTTAATTTTGCACATGCTACACATTATATAGAAGGGTTTCGGTTGATTATTTCTTTCATGTTCTATGGATGCTATCAAGAATTGCTGCTTTCGGAATCTTGAATAGTTTTAGTTTTGTGTATGCTCAGAGACTTGCTTTATTTGGAAAATTTGGATAACTGATGGAAATATTTTTTGTTTTTTGAATGGGGCCAGGCTTGGTTCTAGTTTCAATTTGAAGTTTTTTGAATCAGACTTGATTAGCATCTTGGATGCTCTTCAACCTAATGGTATTGTGGGCATGTTAGGCATTTTTGGGGGGCTTGTTTACCCTCTTCGTCGAGTTTTTCTATGTTTTTGCTGACGTATATTCTCTTTTTAGGATTGGGGCGACCAACGGGATCCTTAGTAGCTCAGTTGAATCTTTGTCACCAATGAAAGGTTTTCCATCGGCATCAATTCCTCAACCAAGACTTTTGTCAGAGAACTCGGATCCTGCTCGAAGAGAAACATGTTGCCCGCAATGTACAGAGAGTTATGAGCAAGAGCTTGCAAAACTGGTTGCCAAGGAATCTGAGAAATCATCTTCTGAATCAGACGCAGCTCAACCACCGCTACCTCAGTGGTTGCAGAACGCTAAACCCCGTGATGTTCATGCCAGTACATTAGATCAGACGCAGGTGTGTTCTGCTCAAATTGATCTAAACTTTCTTGTTCTGCTATTCATTTGTCTCTCATGGTGTTAAAGACTTTAAGACATTTAGTTAATGGTATTTCATTTTTGTCATCATAGACTACGGACCAAAATTTGATCCTGAATCAAAGGACTAATGAATTACAGAAGGAATGGAGAGATACATGTTTGCGTCTTCATCCTAATTTTCATCAGCCCAGTTTCAGCTTGAAGAGAATTATTCCAACAACCCTCTCAATGACGGGCTTGTACAATCCAAACTTGCTTGGTCACCAACCATTCCAAACCAGATCACATGTGAATAAGAATCTTGGGACTCTGCAATTGAACACAAATCCGCTGACCAGCCAACCATCTGAACGGGCAATTTCCCAACCAGAAAGCCCTGTAAGGACAGAGCTGGTTCTTGGTCAAACAGAAGTCACTGAAATCAACTCCAAGCAAACGCATAAAGAGCGCATCAGAGACTTTATGGGCTGCATGCCTTCTGAACCACAGAACAAGTTACATGAAATGCAAACGGAGGATAAACAATTGTGTCAAATAGATACTGATTCATTCAAAAAGCTGTACAAAGGTTTAATGGAGGTGTGGTGGCAGCAAGAAGCAGCAGCCTCTGTGGCTGAAACTGTGACACAATGCAAGTTGGGCAATGGAAAGAGACGTCGTGCTGGGTCAAGGGGAGACATGTGGCTGCTGTTTATGGGCCTGGACAGTGTTGGCAAGAAGAAGATGGCATCAGCACTTTCAGAACTGGTATGTGGGTCCAACCCAGTGATGATCAGTCTTAGCTCCCAACGTGGTAATTTGCAATCAGATATGAGTTTCCGTGGTAAAACAGTGGTGGATCGAATAGCAGAAACAGTTAAGAGAAACCCTTTTTCAGTAGTTGTGCTTGAGGACATTAATGAAGCTGATCTGATAGTTCGTGGTAGCATAAAACAGGCAATTGAGAGAGGTCGTCTTGCTGACTCTTATGGCCGTGAAATCAGTCTTGGAAATGTTATTTTCATACTTACCGCAAATTGGTTGCCAGAAAATCTTAGGCCCTTGTCAAATGACAATTCACTTGAAGAAAAACTCGCCAGTATTGCGAGGAGCAGTTGGCAGTTAAAGCTATCGGTCTGTGCTAGGGCTGCAAAACGCCATGCCAATTGGTTAACAGATGAAGACAGGGCCACAAAGCCTAGGACAGATACTGGTTCAGCATTAGGATTCGATCTGAATGAAGCTGCGGATGCTGAGGATGACAGAACAGACGGCTCGCTTAATTCAAGTGATCTTACGGTTGATAATGAAGATGACAATCGTCTCAATAACAGAACCTTACTCAAAGTCACAACCGCATCAGTACCCCGGGAATTACTGGATAGTGTTGATGATGCCATTGTGTTCAAGCCAGTGGATTTCAATCCCATTCGGCAAAACATCACAAACTCCATCAAAAAAAGATTCTCAAAAATAATGGGTGAGGGGATTTCATTTGAATTACCAGAGGATGCTGTTGAAAAGATCCTGACCGGGATATGGCTAGGCCGGACTGGCTTAGAGGAATGGGCAGAAAAGGTTCTCGCCCCGAGCATCCAGCAACTCAAGTCCTACCTTGGTGGCAGCACTGGTGTGATAGCCGACGAGTCATTGGTGGTGAGGCTTGAATCTGATGGTGCTTCGGACGACCGGAGCCCTGGAGATAGGCTCCCTAGTAGCATCAATGTGGGTGTGGTGCCTGATGGGTTGAGACAACGATGATGTTGGGTAGGGGGGGGGAATAGAGTTGGTATTTTTCATATTGTATATATGATCAATGGTGTGGGGGGTAGTCAAAGACATCTGGGATTTGGGAGGGTAAATCGGTAAAGATAAAAACCGTTACAGGAGGGAAAACTTTGGATAGATTGACGGAACCATTTTTGTTTTTCCCTTCCTTTTTCTTTATTATTTTCTCATGTTTTCAGCTCTAAAGTTTATAGCATCTTATAATCATAAATATTTATTAATTACATGTTATAATTGATTAATAAGATGAGGCATTTCCTCTCATGGACTCTCTGTTTAATCAGTGTTTGTTAGGACCTCTAATTTGACTCTTTACTACAAGAAACCCAACTATCTCAATGTAGAAAAGAGAAGTCAACTAATGTGGTAGTGTTTCATTTGTTCATATTTGGCTATAATATTATGTGATGTCTCACTCAGTGCTATGACGTTTTACACATGACCTAACCGTTGCAAGATTCATTGGATCGCTATAATAATATAACATATGTATATATGTACACACGGTGTATGTATATTTGTCCTGCTGTGCTCGCAAAGGGCAAGGAGAAGAAGACTCGTCGTCAACCTCCTCCTCATCGTTTGAGTGCAAAAGCCATTAATGCCACTCGTAATGCGCGAGAGTGACGAGAGGGAAAACGAAATAAGTAAGAAAGACAAAAAGTGATGCTTCGCGTCTACTCCATATCCTTTGAATATATGCTGATATGCATATACAAATTATTAAAGCAGCTCCTCCTACTCGCTCCATCAAATCTCAAATCTCAAATCTCAAATCTCATTGAGTTGGATGATGAGCTCAGCTCATGTAAACCCAAACCCTACCCAACCCTACCATGCATCATGTATGCGTGTGTTCTCACTTACCACCCACTCCCTTCCTTTCTTCAGCCCCACTCTTTCTCCAATTATGCAATTCTACATCATCATGCATCCTTCGAGTTTTCTTTTGCTCGGTCACACACACATATTAACGTCAATTTTGTACACTCGGCTCAAATATCTGTACAACTTAACAAGGAGATATATGAGGGGTATGTCGACAGCTATACATTCTTTCTAACAGTAATCTTGTGCTTTCCCAAACAAGGAGATATATGAGGGGTATGTCAGAGCCAGAGTAAGCTCACCGGATTAGGCAGTCCGAACCTAGGTGGTCCCACACGCTCCGGAGTGATGGACGAGATTGATCCCGTCGAGAGGATTGTTTGTCTTCTAAGTATGAGAAACCTAATCGAGCACTGATTAAGAATGGATTCCGATGATCTTGGGAGTCCGGGGTTCGGGCTGCCTAAGCTAGCCCCTTAGCTCCTGAGCACCACATCCATTATGTTGGATATTGTTCAAAACTAAAAAATTGCTGAATATTTAGCTAGTGAGTTGGGAGAAAATAGGATGAAAATTTAAGGCACGTAAATAATTACGCTAATGTTTAATTCTAATTAGCCCCCATAACAAGTGTGTAAGTTAAGGATAGAGATGTGAATTCTAATTAATTTGAACTCCCTAACATAACAGCCTTCCCTAATTTAATTGTGTATGCTGTTATTAGGCTTTCTATTGTGGAAAGAATCATTTTGATTGGGGGTAAGAAATTAAGGCAGTGGCAACACATACAAAACAAAAATGTTATTTTTACTATTTATTTGTACTCTCATTTGTATTATCTTTCTACTAGAGATGGGACCCACATGCGTTGGTCGGCCTACCTCTATTAGAGAGATGATACAAATAGATGGTGAGTGTGTAACATTACTTGTGAGAAAAATGTTCTATTCATAGCTCACAAAAACTAATACAAGCAGTCTGATTGGCACCAATCATGCATGATGCATGTGTTCATATACAAAAAGAACAAATCATGCATATGTGTTTTTAAGATTGCTATTTAGTAAAACTCTGACCACATACACATATAATACATGCAAGTTCCAAAATCATATACATCATGAGTGACTTAGAATAACACTACGATGTGTGTGTATATATAATTACCAACAAAACAGAATAATAATAAAAATAATAAAAGGTGTAAATAATTATTATATTATCAACAGAGAATTTGGAAGTAAGATGGCGGTCAACCACAAGGAAACAAAGGGGTAGTTTGGGGATTAAAATAAGGGGGAGGGGAGAGAGAGAGAGAGAAGGTCGTCGCCTCCTCTTTTTGCAGAAATCAGAATATTACTTGATCACAATTGGAAAGCTGCACTTGTTTTGTCCACATGCAGAAAAAGTAGATATAAAAAAAAAAAGGCAGGGTGGCGTTTTCTTCCTTCTCCCAACCCACAAACCTTTATGCCTTTATGCTTGTGTCCCTTCTTCCAGTCACATCTGCCTTTTTAGAATGAAAACAAAATACTCCAACCACTATCCCTCTCTTTCCTTTTCCCACCTTCCAGACCCGATAATTTCTTTATATAATTTATTTTTATTTATTTTCTGTATTTATTTATGGAATCCTTGATCATTATATGTAGACTTAGTAGTTTTTTTTTTTATGTATGTATCATTTTCATGTTATACCTGATATCTTAACAAATCATATCATGTAATACCAATAAAAATAAATGAGTAATATGATTCTACCAAAACCCGACCTGTTACTATCAAATGGTAATATGACCCAACTAATTATTCATTACAAAAAAATTTTTTAATCAATAAATAGTCAAATAAAAAACATAATACTAAAGTAATATATGTTGGAAAATATTATTATTTAGATTTATTTTAATGTTTGGTATTTTGGGCTTAGCCCGTTAGTATTAGGGTTTCGTTTCCTTGCCTATTAGGGTTAGATTACTTTTCTATATATATGGTACTTTGTAACTCTATAGAATCATAAGTTAGTCACAATGTAGCATCTTAGGGTTTTGTAGCCGTTTCGGCATTCTCCTTTATTTAATAATATTCCTATTATTTTGTTAGTCTTGTTTGTTGCGCACTCTGATATTCAACTTGGTATCAGAGCAGGTTTGATCCTTCGGGATTTAATCTGCTTCTGTATGCTCGTATCAGTTTGTTTGTTTTTGGATTTCGATATTAGTTGTTGGTAGTTTAAACTGCATCTGGAGCATCTGGACCCTTCACGTTCCTACACTCGCATCATTGCACTCTTGTGTTTTGCAGGTTCTTTGTGGAGAAGACTGTAGAAAAAAAAAAAAGAAGGAAAAACGAAACAGAAAAAGGAGGAGGAAAAAGAAAGAAACTTTGAAGAAGATCCCAAAGAAAAAAAAAAGGAAAAACAAAACAGAAAAAGGAGGAGGAAAAAGACAAAAGGGAAATAGAAGAAAATGCTTTGTTTTTTGAGGTTTTGACTTTGTGCCCACACGGGCAAGAAAGAAGTATTGATATTGGTATTGGTATTGGTATTGGTATTGGTATTCGCATTGGCATTGGCATTGGTATCGGCATCGGCATCGTCATTGGCATTGGTATCGGCATCGGCATCGGCATTGGCATCTGCATCGGCATCGGCATTGGCACTGGAATTTGGAGTCTTGCATCCACATCATTTTGGCAAACCCATGTCGTGTACCGCCATGAGTTTGACGGGGGGTGTTGGAAAATATTATTATTTAGATTTATTTTAATGTTAGGTATTTTGGGCTTAGCCTATTAGTATTAGGGTTTCGTTTCCTTGCCTATTAGGGTTAGATTACTTTTCTATAAATATGGTACTTTGTAACTCTATAGAATCATAAGTTAGTCACAACGTAGCCTCTTAGGGTTTTGTCGCCATTTCGGCATTCTCCTTTATTTAATAATATTCCTAGTATTTTGTTAGTCTTGTTTGTTGCGCACTCTGATATTCAACTATATATACATGCCACATTGTCACATAAATATTACATACCAAGAGCCTAATTAAAAATATCAAATGCTCAAGGATACGCAAAGTGAAGCGAGTTATGTTTCAAGGTTGTAGAATCTTGCACGTTTTGTGACAATAAAACCCTTCAATTTTCATCAATAACCAGGGGAATGGTATTGGAACTTTTACTTGATATGTTGTATTCAAGAGTTATATTATTGATATTTTCAATAAAGTTTTCCACATTAGCACTCTCTTCCACATAAACTAAGCATAAGAAAATTAAACATTGTAAACCATTCAAATTATGAGTACGAAAAATAATTATAAAAAGAAATAAACAATATATAGTATATAGTGTGTGTGTGTGTGTATATATATATATTATAATAAAAATATATACCCCTCCCTTAAAAATACTATTCATGAGGGTTAATAGGGTTTTAAAAATTCAAACAACGATATACCCATCCTCAAAGCGTAGAGGCATCACGAGTGACACACCCCGACCTAAATCGAGGTGTGCTGGCCGTCACGTGAAAGTGACGTAACCATGTGCGTAGTGCGGAAGGGATAAGGATATAAAAATGTGAGTAATTAAAAACCAAGTTAACTAATTTACACTAAAGAAATATAAGTGCAAGCATGGTGTTTAGGTGTAATTACACAATCAAAGCATAAGAAGCCTAAGTGCAGTCCAGCAGGACGAATACTAATTATATAATACCAAAGGTAGTCCTACAATAGTGATAATCTATCAGAACCGCCAACGATTCCTCGTGAGCCACCAACAAGCACTCCTAACTAGAACCTGGAGGGGCGCAAAATAGAGAAAGTGTGAGTGGGCAAAAACAAAGCTTTTCAAAACAGTTCATTATCAAAAATAATAACCCCTCGCCGTAAAACCTGTATAATTCCCATAAAATAGCAGGCATGTCTATATCTCAAAACCATATTCGAAATAACAATTCCACAAATATACCATGTCAAATCTTAGCAAGAAATAAGTAAGCCAGGTGAAATAAACCAATAAGAAATAGAATGCTAGCCGGAGTCACCTAATGTGACCTGTACGGCTGAGTCCATAGCTTATCAATCAAATCTTGCACACGAGTTGAAACCACCTAATGTGGTTTGTACGACAGGCTAGGTGTAAATAAATACGCTCAAGTACTACGATCATGTGAAGGCTGTTCGAAGTATCGCAAGTCACCTACGAGTCGAAACCACCTAATGTGGTATGTACGATAGGTTGGCACCTGCCTTGGATCCAAGGTGAGCGTGTGGTGCAGAAGGTGAACGATCACGTGAAGGCTAGGCCCTATCCTCGGGCGGAGCACTAACACCGGGGTGCAGGATAATAAGCTCTAAATACATCTCAATACAATTATACTCACTACCATCACTACCATCAATATACTCACTTGAAGTTTACCTGGGCGTCCGCAACG